GTCAAGGACTTCATTCTTCTTGGATCAACTATCAACACTCATGGAAGCAGCAATCAAGAAATCAAATGACGTATTGCATTAGGCAAATCTGCCACACAAGACCTTTGTTGAGGAACAAAGATGTCAGCTTGAGGACTAAGGTGTGCCTGACTCAAGCCATGGTATTTTCAATAACTTCATATGCATGCGAAAGCTAGACAGTGAATAAGAAAGACCATAGAAGAATTGATGCTTTTGACTTAGGAGTGTTCCTTGTAGGCCAAGATGGCCAAAGTTCGTCTCTCATATTTCAGACATATTGTCAGGAGAGCCCAGTCACTGGAGAAGGATATCATGTTTGGTAAGGTGGAAGGTCAGAGAAGAGGAGGAAGATCCCCAACGAGATGGATTGGCCAAGTGGCAGCATCGACGGACTCAAGCGTGGCAATAATTGTGAGGTTGGCCCAGGATCAGGCAGTGTTTCGTTCTGCTGTGCATAAATAAGGTCACTATGGGTTGGTGCTGACTCGATGGCACCTAAAAACAACAACAACAACAACAAAATCAAACAAAAAACACAGAAATGAGAGTTTTTGAGGTTTCAATTGCCCTGCATAACTCCTGGTATAAAATTTTTGAGTAGATCAAGTACCCACAAACTTCTTTTTTGATTGATTTTTCCAATAAGTGGATTTTGTACACCTTACCTATGCCTTTGTAGGAAAAGCACTGAACTGCGAACTACAAGGTCGGCAGTTTGAGCCTACTACCTGATTCACTGGTGAAAGATGAGGCTTTCTGCCCTTACAAAGATGAAACCTAAAACAGGATTGCTATGAGTCAGAAATGACTGGATGGCACTTAACCAAACCAGCAAATCATTGTAGAATCAGGAGCCCTGTTGGCGCAGTGGCTAAGTGCTCACACACCAGCAGATGCTGCATTCTGCTTCTGTGGAGATTTGCAACCTTGGAAACCCCATTGAGAGGTTCTACTTTGTTTCATAGGGTCATTATGAATTGGAATCCACTTAACAATAACTGGTTTAGTTTGCTTTTGGTTTGGTAACCTGGTTACTAGCCAAAAGCTTGGCAGTTCACACCTGTCAGCCGCTCTGAGGGAGCTTTAGTAGCTTCCATAAAGAGTGTTGTTTGATGTCAAGGCTGTCGAGTCAGTTCTGACCCATAAATACCCTGTAGATGGTTTCCAAGGAGTGACTTGTGGGTTTGAACTGTTGACCTTGCGTTTAGCAGTCCAGTGCTTATCCTGCAGTGCCACACCAGAATTTCCCCTTAAAGATTATAGTTTAGGAAATCCTACGGAGCTGTTCTACTTTGTCACGTGAGGTCACTTTGAGTTGAAAGATATGCAGCAACACACACAAAAAAACAATATAATTGTAAATACATTCACTCCTGTAAATTTGAGCTTTTATTTCTGTATTTGGGTTCTGTGTAAGACCTCATTTGATACACGTTCGCTTGCTTAAAACGTTTGAAAAACAGTATTTAAGAAACATATAGCAAATAATTAGCATGTTCTTACTATCAACAATCAACTGCAGTTGTCTTAGGATGTTTTCAACTCTAACGTCTCTCATTCTGAGGAGATTCTCTCTTCTCACCCCTTCTTAGACCCTCTGCTGTAAATGTGGGATATTTTCACACCTTTGCATCTGGTTGTCTTTCAGACTCTCCTGTACAAGAAGGAGGTACCAACAGTTCCGCAGCACCTTGTTCCCCTGGGGAGAGTAAGAACAAGGGCCTGAAGGAACCACATGGCCTGGGAGGTGATGGGCAGCAACAAAGTGGCGAGGGAGTAGCCAGTCCACACCCTAGCCAACTCGAGGCTGGGAGGGGGCTCCAGAAGAAATGCCAGGACAGGAGGAAAGAGCAGGGCCTCGATGGGTCAGGGGCCAGAAGCATGACTCCACCTTCCAGGAGAAGCCCATCCTCGGTTTCTGTCAGGCTGTCCGGGGAGAGGAGTTGCACCTGCAGTCCCAGGCTGCACCGAAACGCTTTCTCCACTGGTAGACTACAGGATCTTGCCTGCCACTCGTTATCCGGATCCCTGGGGCGGAGAGAATGCAGGAGAACTGAAAGTAAGAAGCGACCCAAAAGTCTGGAATTTGTCATTTCTTCAGGAGAGAAGGGACCCCTAAATCCAGAAATTCTTCTGACTCTAAATGAAATCAAACTTGTGACTCGAGACCCTGCAGTCCCCCACAACACAGTGGCCACTCTAAGGGTGGAGGCTACTGTGACTCCAGAGAAAGTTTCCAGGAATCCAGAACATTCAGTGATCCAAGATGGAGGAATATTCATGAATGTACTCACTCGTCAGGAGCATCCAGAATCCACAGTACCCCTGCAGGACGATGGAAGTGGGAGTCCAGAGGTTCCTGGGATGCTCAGTGAGCCTTCAAATCCAGAAGCCCTTCAATCTTCAGGCAAGAAAGAACCCCAGAATCTGGTACACCTGATATCTGTAGGGATGGTGACCTGTGATGGTATCTCCTCCCAACTTCCCTTTGGCCCAGTGTCTCTGTGTCCACTAGGAGCCCTGGTGCGGCACTGCTAACCCAAAGGTGAGTGGTTCCGACCCACCAGTGGCTCTGTGGATGAAAAGACCTGGCGATCTGCTCCCACAGAGGTTGTAACCAGGCAGACTCCATGGGGCCTTCTACTTGGTCTCAGAGGGCCAGCATGAGTCAGAATACACTCAAAGACACACAGCGTTAGCGTCCCGATATGACATGCGGAATTGTAGATATAGGAACTTCTTTCTCTCCCTGGGGCCCCTGGAGGTCTTTGTCCCCTTTGAGGATCTGACGCAGTCTGTGTTGTTGTTGTGAAGTGCTGTCGACTCAGTGCCAACTCAGAGGGGCCCTGTATAGGGCTTCCAAGGGAGACTGGTCAATTTGACTCTCTGACCTGGCACTTAGCAGTCCAGTGCCTATTCTACAGAGCCACACCAGGAGACTGAAAAACTGGTTCTGTATATGCCTTCGCAAAATATCCCACTGAATTTCAGTGAGTTCTTGTCCACTTGGAAGGCCTTCAGAATTGCAAGGACTTCATGGACCTCAGTAAGAATCTGAGAAAGGTTGGGTAGAAGAAAGCTCCTTCTCACCATAAACGAGCCTGAGTGGTTCGGTGATTAAAGTGCTTGGCTGCGAACCAAAAAGTCAGCGGTTTGAACCCATTAGTCACTCCAAAGGAGAAAATGTGGCACCTGGCTTCTGTAAAGGTTACTGTTGTTAGGTGTCGTTGAGTCGGTTCCAATTCATAGTGACCCGTATAGGGTTTATGAGGAGTGGCTGGTGGGTTTGAACCACCACCCTTACAGTTAGCAGTTCAGTGAGTATCTTACAATACCACCACAGGACTCCCTGGAAACATGGTTATTGTTGTTAAGTGCCATCGAGTCGGTTCTGACTTATTGCAACCCTGTATGGGGTTTCTGAGGCGTGGCTGATGCATTTGAACTAGCGAACTTGCAGTTTAAACAGACCTTGCAGTTCAGTGCTTATTTTACAACAGCTGGAGCTTTAACCCAGTAAGCCAGGGTACTGCCCCCTGAAACGTGTACAGCCTTGGAAACATTATAGGAGAAGTTCTGCTTTGTTCTACAAGGTTGTGGAGTCACAATTACCTCAGCCATTGGTTTTTCCTCACCATAAACCTAGGGCAGGGAGGAGACCCTTCTGGTGAAAATCTTCGGTGTCTTCTATTGATGGAGTCCTGGTGTGGCACTGTAGGATAACGCACTGGACTGTAACATCAGTTTGAACTACAAGGTTGGCAGTTCAAACTTAACGAGCTGCTCATTGGAAACCCTACACAGCGTCACTGTGAATCCTACACAGGGTTACTGCGTTGGAACGGACTTAAAGGCACGTAATAAAAGTTGATGGAGTTGTTGTTGTTAAGTGCTGTTTAGTTAGTTCCAACTGTATAGGGTTTCCAAGTAGCAGCTGGTGAGCTTGAACCGCCGACCTTATGGTTGAAACCAACCTTGTGGTCCAGTGCATTACCCTACGGTGCCACCCCAGGACTTCAGTTGATGGAGTAGTGAGTAGGATTATGTTTGGTTGTGAATGACAGAAACATTAAAATACAGTGGCTTAAACGCCATAGAAGCTTTTTCCTCTTTCTCAGAAAACATGTACAGATGTGGCCTAGGGCAGATGTGGCACTCAGTGGGTCAGTGATCCAGGCTCCTATGGCTTTTTCATTCCACCAAGTTTTCTCTCAGGCTCATGTATTAGGTAGTGGCATTGTTAGTCCAGAGACAAGGGGGAGTTAGTGGGGAACAAAGTGCAAGTGATTACTTAGAAGAGTTTCTGGAAGCTTCTCATGACACCTCAGTCTATATCCCTCTGGCTAGAGTATGGTCAGATGATGACCACACTTGCTTCTAAGGAAAGCTGAAACTCTTGGGGAGGAGAGGACATTAGGTAGGGGACTAGCAGCCATCTTGTTTACAGATGCGGTAGCAGTTTCTGGAAACTGTGAAGGGGCACTGGAGGGATTATGACAGTCAATCCACACAGTATAGTTCTGTCCATTTCTTCTCAGAATCTTTCCTGTCATTTTTGCTTTACGAAGCTGCAATTATGATCTTGGTCAGTGCTATTTGTACGTGTTAGGGTTTCATGATGAGTTATGCCCCTTAGTGTGATACAGTCCCCATCTTCCTTTTCACGGAATGCTTCTTGAACTTGGAATGTGAGCAGCGGTTCATTTGTTTGAAAGAAGACTCATCACACATTTTCCAAATGGTCACCATGTGTGACTCTGCTGGGGCTGGGGATATGGCTCGGAACAAACACACATCATCATCCCCCTGGAGGGCTGTGTTGTTCCTAAAAGCCCTGGGTGGATTTAAAGTAAGAAGTCAAACACTGTTCATATGTCTTGTTCCTGTATGTCACTGGCTAGATCAGGTGGCGGAGGAGGGCAGGGTATTTAGAGCAAAGGTCCACTGGTCTGTCTATGAAGAAATGCCCATGAAGTCCAGAATTCCAAGTCTTAGGAAAATCATGACCCCTTAGCCTTCCTGGTTTTGCTGCCTCGCTGGATGGAAGTACGGAAGAAGGGAGTTAGGACGAGGTCTGAGTGTCACTGAGAATTCATCCAACTCCCTCTTCTGGCCATTGCTGCATCCCTTGACTAACAGCTTGGGTTTGTCACTCAGGAGATTTTCCCATTGCCTTACCCGCAGAGAGACCACAGGAAGGAGCCCTGGTTGGTGGTACCTGCATGCATGGCTCTTTCAGCTGCTCTGGGGAGCATGGAACCTCAGGTGGCCACTCACCCAGCTGCCTCCGATGCCAGGCACTCTTGAAGCAGCAGCAGCTACTGCGCAGCCTCAGCTCTGAGCCCCCACCCCAGTGTGAGCGGCACATGCAGCAGCCCTGCCTGCTCTTTTGCGAGGACCACAGAGAGCCTGTTTGCCTCATCTGCAGTCTGAGTCAGGAGCATCGAGGCCACCAGGTGCGCCCCATTGAGGAGGCCGCCCTGGAATACCAGGTAGATGCTCTCTGCTGGGTACTGGGACCCACTTGGCCTTGTTTCACGTTCCTGGCAATCCTGGAGGTGGATGCATTAGCCAAGATTCTTGGGCTGCAAATGGTAGAAATATAACACCAGCCAGTCCAGTGAAGAAGGAATTGACTGACTCATGCGGGTCAGAGGTCCAGGGAAGAAAGGTCAGGTCTGATTGAATCTTGGAGCCTGTAGGAGATCACTGGGACTCTCTGGCTTAGCATGTCTTGGCTCCGTTTCCCAAATCCCACTTCCTCTATGCCCTCAACTGCAGTGCCATGAGCTTTGCCCGCCGGAGCATATTTTTCTCTCTGGCTGGTGGGACCCAGTAAAGCTTCCCAACCACTGTTCTTTTTCCAGGAACAAATTCACTGGCAGCTGGAGCATCTGAAGGAATTGAGGAAATCTGGGGAAGAGCAGAAATTCCAGGGGGGTAAAGAGACAGCCAACTTCCTGGTAAGAGCAGGAGTGACCTGTGGCCAGGCCTTGCCCAGGGTCACCCCTGCAGAGGGAGGGAGGGGATTGAGAGTGAGTGGGGTCCCCAAGATTCCACTGTGGTTAAGGGGAAGCTGCGTTGCTGCCATCGTCTCCTGGAGAGGGAGCCGAAGGGCATCCAAGGAGAAAGGTCCATCTCCAAGGACCCTGTTCCGCTTTCTCATACTCATCCCCAAATACTTACAGAAACGCACACTAGTGGCTGCTGCTGAGGAAGGGAAGGAGAGATGTTTTCACTTTGAACACTGCTGTATTGTTTTCATGATTGTTGTCTTTATTAACAAAAATTTTCAAAGTATGATTTTGCAATGCCACCGCTGTAGGCAGTAGAACTTACTGGCTTAGTGCTGTTGAGCTGGTGGCCCTGACCCTTATGCCTGTACATGCCTTCAGGTTTTCCTGGAATTGGTGGTTCCTGCACCTAGACCCCTTGTCCCCGATTCTTGGTTTTCCTGCAGCATTTAGTTGATTGGATCTTGTTTCTCTCTCAGGATTCCAAACTCCTAGAAATTCAAATCCAGTTTGTGCCCACTGCACCTCAGTGGGTAAAGGGCAAAGGCAGCAAAGGGGATGAAGGGGATGGGAGCCATACCTCTGGGCCAGGGCTGACTTTGGGGAAACTCCTGAGCGGTAGTAAAAGAATCCTGGGCGGCTCTGGAAACTTGTGGATGGAGCAGAGGTCAGGAGGTCCACTCTAGGAAACCCAGGAAGTGAGAGGGTCCAGTCTTCCACGACGACCCCCGCAGTGACAAAGTTCCCTCTGAAAGGAGATGCTGTCTTCTCCAGCTCATAGTAGGTCTGAGGTGGAAGGAAGAGGTGCCATGGGCCCACCTCAGCTCTCTGAAGAGCCTTCTAGTGGGAGAGGGTGATGGCAGACAGAGATACTGATAGACCAGTGTGCAAAGGTAGTGGAGGCTAACTTCACCTTTACATCTATACACTGTCTCCATTCAGAAGCTCTGCCCAGAGAGGTGCCCACCTTCTGAGGGTGCAGGGAAGTCTCCCTCCACAAATGCCTAGATGGGTGCTCGTAGTCTTGACCATTTGTGCCCCCAGGGTCTGTGCCAACCTTTTACACTGGCCTTCAGGGAAGGATGGAAGTAATAACCAGGTTTGAAACCATTGTCCAAGAGCCAGTTCCTACCATCCTCAGACTATTCAGGAAGGTTCCAGACAGCTCTGCCCTTGCTCTGGAATCCAGGCCTCTAAGAGTCTGAGAAGGCTCACCTCTTACCCACCCCCATGAGGTGGGCATGTGGGGACTCCCTGAACATACCCCCGCCACTCCCTGTCCCCCAGAAACAAACGGAAGCCCAGAAGCAGAAGGTCCGGTGTCAGATGCAGCAACTGTACCGCTTCCTGGAGAAGCAGGAGCAGCTGCTTGTGACCAGACTGGAGGAACTGGGCCAGACCATCGGCCAGGTTGGGGAGAAGTATGGTACCCGAGTATCCCGGGACATCGCACTTCTTGACGAGCTCATCGGTGAGCTGGAGGCCAAGCAGTGCCAGCCGGCATGGGGGCTTGTGCAGGTGCGTGACCTGGCTTCCCCAGGGCCCAGCACTGCTAACTGTGCCCAAGCTAGTGAGAGGGGCCCTAGAGGTTTGGGTGGGACCTTGGCCAGGGTGACCCACGAAGCTTCTTGTGCCCAGATCCTTTTGATGAACTAGGAAGTGCCTGGGTTGCCCAGCATTTTGGGGACTTCTGGCATATCTTCAAAGAAATCACCAGGATTCAGGGGCAGTTTTGTTGCAGGATGTGCCAGGCTGCCATCTTGGGTTCTCAGACCTCAGAAGAGGTGCTCCAGTTTGGCTGACACCCAAGGATGGGAGCCCTGGGAGGGGGCAGGGAGCAGCCTGCTATTCAGGAGGAGAGGTGGGGGCTCAGGGCAGCCTCCAGGATCCTGGTAACTGTTCCTTTTTTCTCTCCTAGGGCATTGGAGTCACCCTACACAGGTACAGAGAGGCTCCATATGGGTACCCTGTGCTTGGGGGGATGATTCTGGGAGGGAGAGACTGTTGCACCTCCCTAAGACTATTGGGAAGTTGTGTGGGAGATGGGGAGGCCCACCCATCAGGGAGCAGCCATAGGGCGAGAGACTGGAAAGATAAAGCTAGGTTGTCAAGTTGGGATGAGGTGGCACTTCTTGAGCTGTGGCCTCAGGGAAGGACACCTGGTTTAGAGCCTTAGAGCCGGCTGCTGTTTCTGAGGAGGCTGGTGGAGGGAAACCTGACTCAGCCCAACAAGCAATGGAAAGAGGGAGGGAGGGAGGGAAGGGCAGAGAGGAGAAAGAGAGAGAGAGAGAGAGAAAGAGAGAGAGAGAGA